ATTTTGATCGTATTCTGGGTTTAATTTTTGTGTGTGAGATTTTAATGATTTAGTATAATTCATATTCATTTCGGTTATTTATCTTATCCCGAACATTTGTTTTCTTTCATTCGTACAACTTGAGATGTGCTCAAGAGAGCTGACGCTACAAAAAAAAAAACATGCATGCATACTTCAGTTATCGATTTTTAAATGCATCTTCTCCATTCAAGAGATATGTTTTCTTTTTATTGAATTTTATCTTGTTTGCTGTTGTGATGTTAAACGGATTCCACTTCACAGTAGAAGAAAAAAAAACTAAACAAGACAAAGAGCCAGCTTACAAGGCAAAAAATGAAAAGCGAGGAATCATCATCGACACCAGCATCGATAAAAATGTGAAAATACCACGACTCAAAATACCTGTTGACTGATTCTCCTTTTTTTCTGAATGACGTGTTTTTTCTTCTTCTTTAGCTTGTCATTGTTCTGCACAATGCACTCATCGGTGCCAGGCCAGCGAACGCTGGCTAGGAAGGTAGGCACAATGAAAGATGAAAATTGAAAATTAATGACAAAAATCGAATGACAGCGATCAGATACGTTTAAATATGTAAAACAACAAATGACATTTCTTCGATTCGATGAGTTGGTTCATTGTCGATTTGTTCATGGTTAACCCTTGAACTTCGCCTTACATGAATGTCTGTATGACAAAACATTAAGCACATGCGTGAAACGGCTCGAACATTTTTTTATGTGGTCTCTGAAAACTATTTGCTGACCTCTCTTCAATGGCAACGACCATTGAACGGCCGTATCTATACATTGATTCGAATATGGGCATTAGGTAATGAGATCTTTTATTTTTAGTGCTGTTGCTGCCAGAGTTTCGGATTTTCGGTTTCATGTTCACAACAAACAAATGCTGAACTCAAGTGAATGGATGTGAAATCAAAATACTTTTCGGCATGTTTGCGAAGGCAATACACACACGCAATCGGACGAGGTGTAAAACAAAACGATGCTCGAAAATAGGTGCAAAACAAATAGAGAAAAATGCATGTGACGTGAACAATGTTGCATAGAAAACTGCACTAAAAATGGATACGTTTCTTTGTATCATATGTTGTTGTTCTTATCTCGTTGTTACTTCTCTGAAAAAATGCACAACTGAATACGCATCGTTGAGGTGATTTTTGTTTTTGCCTCTCTCATCTGCGTAGTGAGAATCGAATGACTCTTGTGTGCATGATGCCCGAAAAAAAAAGAGATGCGATTACGTTGTGTGGTTACTGCCAACGACGTCTCCTTTTTTTTCCCATTCCTTCCTTAAAAAAAATTTTTCTATAGAAAAAAAGGCAGGAAAAAAAACCTCCCAGCAAAACAAAGAACCAAAACGAAATCATGGAAACTAAAAACAAAACGAAAACAGCACAAAAAGAATATGTAAACACCATCATTTAAGCGAACATTTACCAGGCAGAACGCAGCACGATATTTTAAACGAACTCACACAACAAACGCATTTTAATATTCTTCGTTATGCTGTTTTCAGTGTGTGCTGTATTTTTTCTTCTCTCATGTCGATTCACTTCTCTCCTCTTAGTCTCAAGTTCTTGGATATATTTTTTTTTCTCGTGTGTGTACAATTTCTATCCTTCGGCATGCTTATGCTCATGAGCACATGCACACACACACCATTCGTTACATTGGACAAACACACAACGATCAACGGTAATGGTTCGTAGTATATACGAGGTATCGTAAAAACAAAGGACGGCACTCTGAATTAAACGTCGTACATTTTTGTTTCATAATGATGTTTATAGAATTGTCGGATAGCGAAAGAGAGAGAGAGAGAGAGAGAGAGAGAGTGAAAAAAAACCCGGACGTCCATCGTCATCGTCGTTGTCGCCGCACACACATTTTTCATGCATGTTACACCGTCGTTGCGCTGTCGTTCCCGATATACCGAAAAGTGCCAGGACATCATGAAAAACAAGAGGTAAAACAATTGTTAAGAACACTTAAATTCAAATCAAATACAGCGAACAAATACCCCGACCTCGGGAACGTGTGAACATTGAAATTGTTGAAAAGATCTTTTTTTCCTCTTTCCATACGTATGTAATAAGATTTGAGTGCAACCGGCGAAAAAACGACGACAAAAAAAAGCTGCTACCTTACGCGTCTATGCGTTAGAACACAGAACCGGAGTAAAACAAAAGAGGAAACATTAAAAATTGAAACATAACATTCCTCGGTCCATGTGTGTTTGATTCGAGTCGTTTAATACAGCACTTACACACACTGCACTCACGCACACCATCATGCATTGGCTGCTGTGAGTGTGGAGCGAGAAACAGTGTGTATGTGAGTGCTAGTACAAAGTTGTGTGGGTTTTTGTTATTGTTGCTATCTCATTTGGCTCACGTGCTGTCGGTTCGCTTTAAGCCGCTTGCACATTGTTTAGTTTTTCCACATTGCCATCACATTCACATCGTCTGTCGATGCCGCTCGTTGTGTGCCGTTGATCGAGGAATGGTTCAGGATATGGTGTGTTTGAAGCAGTATTTTTTTCTCTGTTTTGTTTCATGCACTCCCAACAAAATTGATCGCTCCATGGTGTTTCAGTTCGAAACGGATACTTAACCGGTGCTGTTGCATTCACTCAAACACACAGCCCGGTTTTTTTTGTAGTTTTTCATTTTCTTTCTCTCGGTGAAAATGTTGTACATCGTTTTCTTATGTTTAATTCAGTTGTTGGTGGAAATGTTTCTGTTGTTTGTTTGATATACCGAACAAAAAGCAAAAGTGTTCCATTTCGATTCTCTCAATTAACAGTGAGTGACACATAAACCATTGAGATTGTGTTCAATTTAGAGCAAACATCGTAAAACAAAGTGCACCGATTATGAGCTGAGCTAAAACCCGAAGAAAAATGTCGAATAAATTCCGTCAATATCTTAATTGAAATGATAAAATGAAAGAAGGAGCGGATTAAATGCGAGTGCATTGAAAATGCCAATGGGAAAATGTGAAATAGAATCGTTTCGTGTATTGGATCAGTGATCAAACAACCGACTAGTAAATGGATAGAAACCATTAAAAACAATATAATTGATAAATAATACTTGACGCCTGCAGCATTGCCATTGCCATTGCATACACACACATATACCTTCATTTAGAGATATAAATTGAGAAGGAAGAAAAGTACGGAGGAAATAAAACGTTTTAAAAAATATCGTTTTTAACTTAAAACGAATTAAGAAAACACCATCAACATCAAAATCTCAGCTAGTAACAAATTGGAAAGCATTCCCTCTCATTGTGTATATTGGACTGTGTGACTTGTGGCACTTTTTTTCCGTGCACAATTTGGCTAGCGAATGATTCAATCAGCAGCTCTTCGATGTTACTTGATTTTTTTTTCTTTTCTCTTCTTCAAAAAGTGTTACAGAGACTTGCATTTCCAAAGCCGCGATTGGAATTAATGATGTGATCGTGTAGGTGCCTCAAAGTATTTTCTCCATGTTTTTATTTTCGTTCAATGAATTCTTTTTTTTTCTCTTCTTCGGCGGTGCAGTTGCCGCGCGCGCATCGCACCAAAGGAGCGAGATATTAATTTATAATTTGCTCTTCTGTATTTCACGTTTTGTTTCGTCTCGACGATTTCTCTATTATTTACGTGTGTGATTTGGAATGGCATTTTCGATTCCGGGTATAAATGCATATACGTGTACATTCTGAGTGTTTAAAACACATGTGCTACGTGAAATGGCTTCAGAAGATGTGCCTGTTTATCGAATTATATGTGCTTTGCATACACACATCTCTCTCTCTCTCTCTCTCTCCGTCTCTCTTACTTTTCTCTTCCTTTTAAATCAAATGAAATTCATAATCAATTCTTGAATATCTTTCACTCTTTTACCTTTGCATTCACCGGCGTGGCTTTTTTTTTACCATAATTTATACATAGACATGCACGATGCGATCACTTCATTCGGAAATTCGAATTCTTTATGGGTTTTCGGCTTGTGGGCGAATTTATTTCCCATTTTATTCTTAATAATTCCGATGGATTTCAGTTACACATTCGCTTGCACGGCATCCACACACACACACACACACACCATCGGATTATGGCCACAAAACAACAAAATTGTTTCGTTTTTCGAAACATTGTACGAACAGATTAGCTGATTGATTTTGAGCGCGTTAATAACAATAAATTTTCAATCGATTTTCATTGTGGCAAGCCGATTGCAGTTGAACGGCCAATTTTTATGTTAGTGGTGATCACAAGTGCTCAAGACGTTTTTTTGGTGGCATCTCGGTTGAAATAGATGCTCAGAGAGAGAGAGAGAGCCGACAAACGATTCGAATGAAGAAGGGAGAACAAAATCGAGAATGGGTTTCGTTGTTAAATTTTTAATCGTTCGTTCATTGTATAAGGTCATCACTTGCCACCATATAATTTTTTAAGTGATTTGAAATGTTCAACACATTCGAATGCCTACGTAAATCAACCTCACTTCCAAGCGCGTGTATCTGTGATTATGAGCTGCTTCTCACCTGACTGAACAATTTCGGTTTCAAAATAAACCCATTTACGTTTGTCTATGTAATTGTTTCGTTATGGTGATGACGGCGACGGCGATGATCAGCATCGTACGTAGCAGCAGCAGCAGCACGGCTAATTCTACGTTTGCGTTTCAGTCGTCGAAAGACAATAGAACGCGAGCGATGCGCGGTTACATTTGTTGCGGCTGACAGCAGCCAAATAAATTTGTTCAGCATTTTAAACCAGACAGAGATAATAAGTGCATCAGTTTTATGTTTGTTTACATCTTACAGATAAATTCAAATGTGTGAATCATTCTCGCGCTCCATAACTCATTGTTTACATAAATTGAAATTAAAGTTTTATCGCGTCGGACTTGCAGCCAAAGTCAAAAGGCAAATCAGTTGTGAATATGAGAGTTTACAATGTTTTTTATCATTTGATGCTTTAGGATGTGATGAGTCAATTATCAGCTTACTGGTGTGAAATCAAAACAAAGAACAAAAAAGTAGATAAATAAAGAACACCACCATCGAGTACAGTGTAATTGAAAAAGTGCGTGTGAAAGACAACAGCCGCATCGAATCCAAATCAACAACAACAACAAAAATCAAGTGAATTCCAGAACGAAAACGCGGCGCGCAAAACTCACAAATCAAACGGCAAAATATTTGTGGATTGTGTGCGTTGGACGTAAGAAATTAATTCTGTGTATCTTTTCTTCTGTCGTGTGTGCGTTGTGCAAGAACAAGTGTATGTAGTGTGGCGATGTGGGAAAAGAATCCACCAACTTCATTGAGAAAATAACGAGCGCGCTCCCAAATTTGATCAACGCCAAATTCGGCGTGAATTGTGAATATACAAGATAACAGGATGTGACGATGTTGTTTGAGTGGCATTTAGCGCGCTGATTATATCACAAACATGGATTTATCGGTAAGTGGTCATCAATTTCATTTTTCTCTCTTTTCCTTTCCGATTTCTTTTTCTCCGTTCTTTTTTTTGCTGGTGTGTGATTTCATTTTTTTTTTGCCCAAAAATTACTTTCAAAGCATACGCAAACGAACCGAAAGAAACGAAACATTGGAATATGTTTTTCGCTTGTAACAAACCAACAACAAAAAAATTGATGCCAATCAGGCAGATGTGACTCGCAGAAGGAAACAACTGTGCACGCTAGAGGAAAACATATTGGTTGGAGATAGTCAGGTTTTCGAAAATCGAAAATAAACAAATCGTCTCTATGGTGTGCCAATTAGGCCCCTCTTTATTAAACTTCCATTCGTTATACACTATCGCCAAAATCTTAACGTTCTTTTAATACCGCACTATTTCCGTACTTTGTCAACTGAGCGAACTACGAGCGTGGGTCACTTGATCCGTTATTTACTCAACACATCAAAAATACGACAGCCTACGTATTTGGTTTCAAGCGCCAAGCAGCAACCATTCCATTGCGAAGAAGCCCATTCCAATTCAAAGAAACGACTTAATTGTCAAATAAAATAGACACATTGACATGAATTCGGTCGAAATTTCTGAAGAACGAGAGAAAACGGCATGTCGTTGTTTGCTTGAGCCAATCGGTGCATCCATTTTCGGCAAGTAGAATCATTGGAATTCCAATTTTATTGACCATTATTTCCATCATCGGCATCATTGACATTTAACTCGAACAAATTTTTGTGATTCACAGATGATTTCTATTTTGTTTTTAGTTTCTCTTTTGGGAATTTTTCAATTTTTCATAAACAGAATGTTATCTTCGTGTGAATCTCTTGCTTGTCCAATTGCAAAGAAGAACTTTTGCATCATTTTTTAACGTTCTGGTGAATTGATATATCTGTTGTCTTAATGAGCGCCAAATATTTTCCTTGTTCGAAATTCCTAATTTGCATAAATGACGAATTCAATGGTAAGGACAATGTTCCTTTTTGCCGGTCGATACCTTTCACTCCACCAAACCTCTATTGACTTCTAAAGCCTCATTTATATGTTTTTTGATTGGCCTCTGGTTTAACGAACACACACACACATACTCTTAACATCGTACGGCCAAAAGAAACCACAGATTAAACTTGCCGATAGCATTTAAATCACAAGAAAAGTTGTCGGCGAATACTTTCTTCGTCTTCCATCGAATCGAAACTGAATCTCTCTCTCTCTCTCTCTCTCTGTGTGTGTGTGTGTGTGTGTGTGTGTATTTTGAATTCAGCAGTTAGTTGTCGGTAAGCAGTTTTCAAAGGTAATCGAATCGACTGTTTAATTAAGTCGCGTGTTACTCGCAAAAAGTCACTGGTTTTTGTGTGCACATGGGGTCATCCGGTGGAAATTGGAGTAAATTTTTCATTGATTTCAGTTCAATGCTAATGCTGTAAAACCCAAAAGAAAATATAAAAAAAAAAACGCTTCACTTGAAAGAGTCGGCAATTGATTTAAATCTATGCAAAAAAAGAGCAACATTTGTGCCTTTGCCAGCTCCCTTGATATTTCATTTAGTTGCCATTAAATAAATGAGCGCCGCTTTTATTGAACTTTTGCAATTGCAATTCACTGTGATAAATGGGCTAAAATGGCAATTACTGTTGATTTTTAATATCTTGATAAAAAAAAACTAAACGCAGAGAAATTCATTTACAATTGTGAATGTTTGAAAGCGCGTTCAAATTGAAAATTACTAGCACCATTTACTTGGAGGCTGTTTTATTCGTTCGGATTTCGTTGCCACAACGGACAATAGAGTGAAATCAAAACAAAAACCAAACCAAACTCAACCAAATGTTAATTGAATACCAAACACAAAACACTGAGTCGGTTTAACTGGCACACACACACTTACACATAGGCCGCATCGCACCGAAATAACATGAATCACATAGTCTGCCGAAGCGCAACTTCTTCTTCGATTACAACATCGGCCACTAGAACTTAATGCGAAAAACGATCTTTGCAACCAGATAATTGAATGAATGAAACACGTTTTTCCGCTTTTGCAATGAAACCATTCCGCGTACACATCATCAACTGACTACGGCGCTCTCTCGTACTAATCGTCATTCTGCTCAGTGTTTCGTACAATTCTTTGTTGTTCACTTCGTCGGTTTTTAGTTTCTTTTTTTTTCAACGTTTAATGTTTCATTTAAAACTTATTCTTTTCCAAGATTGCTTCATTCATTTGGCTTATTTTAACTGAAAGAAAAAACAGAAACATATTTCGCTCGTCGGATGATGAGCGATAGCACCGAGAGGATGGCCTTCAATCCCATTGACCCGTGCACATTTCACTTATCTCGCTAACGAGACTCAAATGCCGCTCTTCTTCAAATGAAACCATAAAAAAATTTCTTCAGCCGACGACAACGGTTCGTAATGGGAATCACAATTGAAGGTGTGACTTTTAAACAAATTGACTGAAAAATGATTCTGATTTATGAGCCTTTTTACAGCGTTTTAACGATATATCAACAAACAGTTGTTTGACGAGAATCTGTAAAAATGAAATTCCGTTTGCTTTGCGTATGCTTCTGGAAGTGCATATACTGCATTTATTTATTTTACTACATGTTGTGCGTAAAGTAATTTATTTGGGAAAATCAATTTAAAGTTTAATTAAATTGCTTTATGAGAAAAACTCTATATGAATAAAGAAACACACACCAAAAAAATAGGAACTGTTCAACTCGAATTGAGAAAAAAAGAGAACTTTTTTTCAATTAAACTCTGTGATTTAATCAATTTTATTTCTCTTCAGGCGAAAATACGTTACACAGACACGAGTTATATAATAGCGCAGCAATGGTCGAAAGGAGGCGAGAAACACACATTCCCAAATGTTTATGCGTGCAATTATAATCGGCAGAAATTTGCCAATTTGGCAAAATGTGACGAAAAACAAACGATTCCAACGACGGCAAAGGCGATAAAAAGACCACTTCCAGTTGTACCGCCGATGCCACCAACGCCGCCACCGCCAGCCAAACCAGATGACCTTATCGAAGACGATAACAAAATTGACGCCGATGAGCAACGAGAGGTGCTGCCATCAAATGGTGAACGAAAACAGAAGAAACGAAGAACAAGGTCTCTGGAACGCCTCCGTGATCAATCAAATGATATCGAGCTATCGGACTCCGACGAAGACATTGCAATCGCACAGAAAATCCCAATCATAAAATGTACAGATGAAGTAGATGCTTCAGCAACCTCACCATCCATGAGCGAAGCGATTAATGCACATAGCAACACGACGGCGGATGAACCGGCAATATGCGCTGATAGTCCGGGGCTAGCAATCGATGCAAACACATTCAGTGACAAAAGTCAATTGTCATTCGATGAAATTCTCAAAATTGAAGAGACATTCGATGACGATGGTGCCATTGGTTTTATGAATCAAAGCATCGTAGTCGATATTCATGCCGAACCAACGATTGAACTGCGGATTCATGAAAGCGACAGTGATCCGGCGATCGTAGCTTCAAAATCGGTGACCGGCATTTTGAATGCATTCAAGTTAACCAAAGAACAAATGAAATCCGATTTCGAACAGGAACGATGCTTTAGCGAAGACGATGCTGTCGATCCTGATGCAGACGATAATAAAGAAAAACCCGAACGACTGGTGCAAAGTGACAGTGAAGTGCTATCGAAAACGCCATTAAAATTAGTTATTGAATGTGATATAAACGAAAATGTTATTGTTAACGAATCAAAATCACGCGAAACCATTCTTGATCTTGACCACAATCATAACGATATTGTGAAAGCCGCCGAAATTGTCACGGACCAAACCCAAATAAAAACCAAACAACCACGCGTTTCTGAAACAAATGCTGAAATAAAATTTGTGCAAAATCGTGAGAGTCCACCGATTGTTCCGCAAAATGAGCAACCGAAACACGAATCCATTTCATCACGTTCCAGTTGCGAATCAGATGGCAATGAACCAGTTTATGCCACGGTTGACACAGCATTGAATACGGTGAGTTTTTTCTCGTTAAAAACAAACAGATTTCTGTGGAATTTAAAAAAAGTAACGGCATTTAAACGAGAAAAAGAACCGAAAACACATTTTGGAAAGAATTAAAAGCAATCTCAAGGGGAGTAAACGAAGTTTGAAAGGAAAACAATGGATTTTTCTAACAAAATGTAATTTAAGAAGAAAGAATTTCAAGTCCGAAGAAGGAAAAAGGCTGCAAGTTGGCGGTAAAAATGAACATTTCTCCTTTGCTCCGTGTATGTTTGATTGAGCACAGTTGCATTGCGACTTAATTCGTGAAATCGAAAATCAAATGTCAGTGCAGGTGCAATTGAAAAATACCATATAATTGAACCGAAATTCCAATGTTTCGGTGTTTGTTGTTTTTGTAAATGTGTGTGCAAAACAAACTGCTGTGATTTTAAGCGATTTTTTTTTCTCGAAACAATTTGCGTTTAATTTGAAGCCTCCGAGCATAAATCTGTTGCATTTTACGGTTTTGCACGCCTCGCCTTGCCACAAAAAAAAAATGAACCAAACCGAATTTTAACATTTTATTTTCTGACATGGTTCTCTTTGGAAAATATGAATTTTTGATGCACATGCAAATATCGTCATAAATAAAATCGCATATTTTTCGTGTCTGTGCCTGTTCGTCATTCTATAATTGGTTCCAACGGCACCCAGAACGAATGCTAATAATTGAATGCTGGGCCCATAATGAACATGACGAAATTGTTTGTTTGTTTGTTTTTTTTGCTTTTCACTTTCAAACTGTGTGCCGGGCTGTGTGCTCCATGTGCATTTTGTTTAATATTTTTGATCCCTCATGCGTTCAAATATTTCATGGTTCGATTTAATTTTATGATGTTATTTGAACGACATGGCAGGATTCGTTGGTTGCCACATAGCCAATGGTGTTTTTACAACATATTTCAAGCTATTTTCCACTCGTCAACTGCACACTCTCTCATTCATTGGAAGGTCCACTATTTTAATTCATTGCAAGTAATGGAAATTGATAATATTAATGATTTTTCCTCATATTTTTGGCATTAAAACTGCATACAAATAAATTGATATGTTGAAATTATCGTCAAATGACCAGACCTACGCACAATATGTTTCATTTTAAAATGTCCAATTACCACACGGAGAATAATAAATGATTTTCGGAGAAGAATGAAACAGTTCTGCGTGGGGGGGAAGAGTGAGTGTGAAATGAAAATTGAATTCATTAAAAGTTATGTTAATTTATTCAATTTACTTGAAATATCCGAAATATTCACAAACAATTTTCAATGTGAGATCTTTATTTACTGATTACTTTATCAGAAGGGACAGAAAAAAAGTAAAGTCATTATTAAAATTAAAAATGGACACACATGACTGTGCGATTTTTTTTTTCACTCGTCCTAAATCCATTATTTCATTAGCATCAATTTACTGGCTGGCCAATTTTCTATGGCATTTAGTACTTGATTGATATCTCTCTTAATCAACTTGAACGTTTCATTTGCAACGGGTAAACAAGCACTCGAAACGAAGGTACCCGCATTCAGGCCAATGCGCCAGAGTGTTCGATAAACACAACTCATAGATTATCTCAAGCCGTTCAACTAATCTCATAAATAGAGAAAAAGGAATAGGCACAATTTGTGCTGGTCGCTGTCCTTGTTTTTCTTTTTCAGTTGGAAAGGGCGCAAAATAGAAACATAAATAATCGAAAGATTTCTATAATTATACAGAATTTTCCCATCTAAATTACCACTTAGTGAATTCATTCTCGCTTCTTTCAATCGCGCCGGGTTTTGAAAATTGCACGAAATTGAGCTTGAAAATTGGCGTTTAGTTGTGAAATGCGGAGGCAAAACCTCATTCAGCTCCTCTTTTGCTATTGGAGGTTCTATTGGCGCACACAAATCGATAGAAAGAAGAGAATATTGTGGAGCTGCATCAAAAATTCAGCGAATCTTCTTTGAAGTGATTGCAAGCAAGCAAAAAAAAACTCAGTCCTCTGGCAATATTTCAACGAACTACCGATTGCTACTGCCAGTTATTGCATGTAATAAACGCGAACGCATATACGATTCTTTTGGAATTTATGCTGCAAATTGTGCAAAAAAAGAAATCATCGAAAAATGCTAGACAAATGAACAGTGCAAATACGCGAGAAATCACAACAAAAGAAAACCCACAATATTGGCAATTCAGTTGATTCAGCCAGTATGGCTGTTGTGAGTTGAAACAATATAGCCAAGGTTCGAACGCCGAGTGGTACGAGTGCCATGACCTTAGCCACTGCCATTTTTGGTGGCGATGACTGAAGTCACGGCAGCAGCATCAATTTGGTTATTCCGGCGATTTCGCGAGAATGCGAACAATTTCCTTTTCAGAACACACAATTTTCTAACATGCTGCTGTTGTTGTTTTGGTTTATTCTCATCTCGGTTGGTCGAGAGTGGAGAGATTTTGCATTGTTTAACTTTCCGATAACTTGATTTTCGTTGTGTTAGTTCACATCGTTGAACAATTGGCTGCTGGTATCAAGCCAAACATCTCTGTACAAACGGAAATATTTCGACATTTAAATAAGCACAAAATGAAAAAAATGTTTTGGGTTTGAATGATTTTCCAGGTCTATTTTGAATTATCTGCGTACACGCGCATCAGCACCATTGTCCAAATACAGCGAATAAACAAATTGAATTTGTTTGTTTACATTTTCTCTTCGTTTCGAGTCTCGGCAGGCAGGCAGTCCTAGCACTATCTTTGTTAGTTTCTTCTAAAAAAAATTTAAATTATACTGGTACTCTTTTGTATACATAACCGTCATGCCCAACCTGGCCACAAAAACAAACGTGTAAACACGAAATAAAACATAAATTATATACAATGAAAGGAGCCAGCAACATTTTGCTGCTGTCAAATTGAATTCTGCACCATAAATCACTCAGTCAACAATCAAGTCCTCCGTATATGGCATATGGAATGTTTGATGAATGAATGACTGCAACGACAATCGCGCGCACCAACAAATGATTGAATCATTTTTATTTTTCTCCTTCGTTTGCGGTATCCAAGCGCACTTCACTATAGAGTAGCCAAAACCCAACTGAAAATATACTTCCACTCACCGCTGTTCTCTGTTTGAACACAGCTCAACTTGTCCGGATACAATCGAAAGAATGTCGATGGGAAAATTTATGCCATTTCATTGACCAATCATTTGTTGTACGGTGAAATTTATGCTACGAAGTGACATGTGTACCTAATCGAAACGTACAAAATATTTATCTCGATTTTTTTTATCGCCATATCTGTAGCTATGGCCAGATTGAAATCACCGCTAGAAATTGATTTTATTTATTGATACTTCACTATGGTTGAACAATGAACATATTTCCGATGATTAACCACTGGAAACTACGGAAAACTAATTGAAATAGTTAACAATAATGCAACAAGTCCCATTAAAATCGTTTGAAAAATGGTTGAAAAGACCTATTGAACAAAATGTTTTTGCCTCAAATTCACAAAAAGAATATAGATTTTAAGCTCACACCTTTTGAGTGTGTAAAAAAATTACCTGCTTCTATTTTCGTCTGACCTTCATTATTCCTTTTTTCCACAAATGTACCAATTATTCTGTTAGAAAAGGATTCAGGCGCCATTTGATTATTATTGACAGGCTCCGGGCTGTTTTTTTTTTAAATTGTTTTCATCTCTTTATAATAGGTGAATTGCTTCTATAAAATCCACATCAATTGAGATGTGAAATTAAAAAAAATTCTTTAAAAAATATTATTAACGGAGCACAAGTACCATTTCTCAAACTTGTTAATTTAGTTCTAGTGGCGGAAGCAAAATTAATAGGAACAAGTACAATAATTTATTTTATAACAACACCTAAAAGTTAGAGAGCCATTGGACCCATAAAGTATTAACGGCCATTTAGAAAATGTTGAAACGTGCGCTCAACGTTCTATAAATTCACACATCAGAGGTACGAATTAGTGGTTTCTCTCTCTCTCTCTCTCTCTCTCTCTCTCTCTCTCTCTCTCTCTCTCTCTCTCTCTCTCTCTCTCTCTCTCTCTCTATCTCGAAGTGTGTGTTTCTCGGCACAGAACTCTCGATGTCAAATGAAACTCGTGCGCTTCGGAAAAAGGCCATATTGAGAAAATGATGTATGTTTCTGTGTTTGCCGCTCGCTTGCTCGCTCGTTCGCGCGCGCCTGCACTTCAAAAAATTCGTGTGTTTAATAGCACAAAATGGAGTAAAATAGACCTACAACGAACACTATATTATGCATTCGGCTTCGTGATGTTTATTTAAGCAAGTTATTAGAACCGAGGAGAAAATGCATTGAAATGCGAATGGAAATGCAATCGGAATGGCGCAGTGCATCAAAAGGCAAAACGAGCGAGAGCAAGACTGCTTGATGCTTTTACGATATTTTTTTATTTAGTATGTAATTTTATTATCTTCTTCCATTCATTTATGTGTAATTTTAATTTAGCGTTACGCGAAAAACGAACCAAACCCGACACAAACTGCGCAGTTGTTCAAATCTCTCTCTCGCGCACTCGGTTACAGAAAAACTCGAATATGCATTTCAAACGACAAAGAAAAAAATCGGTTGGAAATTATGGAACGCGGAAAGATATTTTGCATTTGCTTTGGCTTTCTTTCCATTAAGTTTGATCGATGATCGCATTTTTGGCCGAGACGTCGACTAATACACTCGTAGCACACACCAGGCAATCGCGATTCGATTAAAGCGACTCGATGGAAAATCACATTGATAACTTGGTGCTGCTGATGTTGCTGTTGCAACGTCTTTTGATGTTTGATTTCCGTCTCTTGTTTATTTACCTTAGCCATTTTATGTTTAAATGTTTGTCGACGATTTTTCGTTCAAATTATATTTCATTCCATCATAAAATCCAGCGCAATCGAAAATAGCTGGATATAAATAAAAACTGAAAAGGGCACACACATCACAAAGAGAATTATGCATTGGCAAAGCTGTTCACAGCAAGCATTTACTCGCCACGTCTCTTTTTTTCAGTTCTTCTGCCATTTGTGATGAAAAGTGTGAATCTTGACGTTATGAGAACCATTTCGTATGGCTTTGATCTTTATGCGGCTATTTGCCTTTTTTCTGTTGCTCACACATTACTCTAGCTTTGATGCATGTTTATTTTAGCACCTTTGTTATCTCATTGGACTTTCTTTGTTGTTGATTTTATGGGAAATTCTCTTCACTGGTCGCGCAGCTGGTTTTTTAACATCAATTTCGCCAAATTCCTCACATTCTACTCAAGAGGTGAGAAAATTCGTTCAACGAACAAGCGGATGATCTGCAAAAATTTGCATATTTCACAATGGTTTTTCTAAAACACTCTTTGGAGCACTTCATTTTGTTTTCTTCTCATAGAAACACTTCTTGAGATGCACTGTGACTATCGCCGATTATTTAGAGTTTAATCATGCTGAGAAAAGCAAAATTGATTACAACGTTTTTGGCGTAATCGAGATTCTTGAACCACAACTCAAGCACGCAGACTGTCTCAATGACTTTCTGATTGATTTTTCTGGTTCGATTTAATGGCAAACTCTATAACCACCATTGAAAAATAAACTACACATTTGTATGTAATCTTACACCTTGAATGAACGTTTAATGCTCATAATTCGCTAACAACGATTTTAATCGCTCTTTTTTAATTGACAAAATTAATACCACCAAAACCACTAACGAACCCAAATAGCTACGTTTAACCATAGTCTGCTACTGAACGAGAAGAAAACGACTCAACAAATGCAAGCAACAGTGACGTAATTAGTTTGAAGTATGCTTGAAAGCGTGTAAAATTATGCAAATGAATCAAAAGTAACGCTTTTAGTAGCAATTTGTGTATGTCGTAGTTGGTTTTTTTTCCCCATTATCGTATTGCATCGAAACGACAAACGTTTAGTTGGTTCCATGGTATTCACGTCATTTGCCGACACACCATTATTTAAAATATTCAATGCAACAAATTGCAACAATTTTATAAGACACACAAAGAGCCAACAACTATTTTAATGCATGCATTTGCATATGACTTCATCCAGCATGTGTGCATGCAAAATCGTGTTGTTGAAGCATTTGGAAGTCGCAAGTGCATTTTAATTGAGTTTATTTATTTTAGAATGCCACGAGAACGGCGAAAAAAAATAGACGACGACGGCGCATCGCATCGAAAACGTTTCGCTTTACAAAGTGACATTGTTTTTCCAAAAGTGCATCGCGGCATTGTGTTTGTTTGGTTTTGCGGCAAATCGAGCGCTCGGCATCAATTAATAACAACACATGTGTGGCACGCGCCACAGCAATTCCATTCAGACTTGAAATACTCTAGGCGATGGATATCTCGATGTTTTTCGGTGTTTTGCATAAATTATGGCGTTTTCTATTAGATTCGTTCCATTGAAAAACTTTCAGCTGCGCTGCTGCGACACTTTCTTCATTTCGGTGTTGCGCGCTCTGACGCTTCCTCTATTTATTGTGTGCTATTGAATACTAATTTCAAGTTCAGCGCTCTGCTGAATTAATTTCTAATTAAATTCAATTGAATTTTAAAGGGCAGTGGACAGCACGGGTATGGATTTTAATTGGAATTTTTAGGCCAATGAAACCATTTGAATTGTAACATGGTTTTGAATTTGAATATTGAATTTCAAATGTTTGAATTCCAACAGGATTTTTGGCATGCGAACATTTGAAAAATGAAATACGAGCTTCGTTGTTGCTATTTTTGTGCTCGATTTTTCTGGCATTCAAATTCCATAGGCCATTTGAAATTGTAATCCATTTTTCGTCACAAAGTCAAGTATTTCCCGAGAACAAAAGTCGTGCGCTTTGTGCACGATCGATGGATGAGTGACAAAAAGGCAATGAAATTACATCACGCTATTAAACCAGCACCAAAAAAGGTGCTAATCGTCATTCATCGAAAAATATCGTATACGATATGAAAAGATACGCGTACGAATTTTGAGTGACGCATGTTGAGATACAATCGTTTCGTGTTTGCCAATACGAACCGATGTAAACAAACGCTCTGCGTTTTCTCTCTCTCTCTCTCTCTTTCTCTCTCCTCTCTCTCTCTCTCTTCTATCTGAAACAATCATCATTTCGTTTACTGAGCTACGACAATTGAATACTAAATTATTATATTCAATTATTGTTGTTGTTGGCGGCGGCGTTGAATTGGGTTTGAATATACATATATGTTTTTGGTTTTTGCCTTGGTATTGATTTCTATTTTTTGTTCGTGAACTTCCGCTGTGCGCGATATCGATTTATTGTTGGCTTCGATTTTTCGTCGTTTCGTTTTTTTTCTCCTCTCTCTCTCTTCTGTGTGTGAACCTCAAGAGAGCGAACATACGTTTGTGAGCGCCGTACAATGCAAATTTATGTTGTGTGTTCCACGACATTCAAATTGAATTTACAATGACATAAATGAACTAAAGCGATGATCACACGAAAAAAATAAAAAATAAAGCGGAATGAAGAACAAGCTAAAGCTAAACCACCGCCACAATTGCAAACTGGTTTTTTTTTCGGTCGTGTTGCTCATCAGTTGATGCCTAGGTTACATTATCGTTGGTCGTCGTGATAGCAATAGCGGTTATATTTTGTTCATATATTCGGCGCAAATTTATATCGTCGATATATTATACTTAAATTTATATGTATTTGCATTGATGATGTGTTCGGGGTCTAAATTTATGCATACGATACCACACAATGTGGGACACGTCAAAAGAAAGAGAACAAGCGCAAAACACATTTTATTTATATATGTGTATCTGAAAGTAAACAGACGAAAGGCAAAGAAAAAAAGCTAAGAAAATCAACAAAAAAACAGAGCCGTCGCAATGGAGAAAACTGCGAAGCATATGGCGTATAAAAGTAGTCTATAGATTATAATGAAGTGACTGTAGTCAAAATGTGAGCGTAATGAAATCAAATAAATGCTCTCTTTTATGATCGAATAAAATATACGCTTTAAACTTTTTTTTTATTTAGTAACATGCAGAATAATAAAAGTTCGCTTGCAATCACGCCAAATTCAATTGCGGCGTTGATTTAATCAAAACCACTTGTCACACACATTCACAGCACCTCAATGATCTTTTCCAATTTGCGAAATATACCTTCGAGTTAGTAATAAATTTCAATTAAAGAACCGACAATCATTTCGGCAATCCATTTGGGCAACACACACACACACAATTTGATTAATACGAATGAAATTATTTATTTATTTTCAGGTGAGTGTAAATGTTATGGCATCAGTTTTATACCTTCGAGATGATTTACGATTTCGGCCACCGCCCGACAACCGTACCATTCATAATGGAATAGTGCTAAGTATAAATGTAAACGTAGTAATTATTACCTCTTAGATACGAACCGTTCGATAAAGAAGTCCCTTTTCAATTAAAACTTCCACATCGTCCGACTTCGTCTCTCCCGTTCTCGCTCTCTCGACGCGTCGGCTGACGGAACATTTTAGCACCTTACTGTACTCGAGTTTGGAATTCATTTGCAAGAATTTGTATAGAATAGAGCCGGTCAAACCGAGATTAGAGTGTTTCGTATCAGTAAATAAATTCGGTCCATGAACTCAGAAACATTATTTATGGCGGGTAACATAAACATTCGATTCTAATTCCTTGGATACAGACTCTGTATTACAGAGCTTCGATGTGTGCTCCATTAGCCACTAAGTTTATGCCAATCAATTTTAAAAAATAGTTTCGAGAATTTGCTTGGATTTGCCACGCGACGTCGGCCGAACTAGAGTTTTCGATTCGAAAATATGATTTCAACCAAAAAGAATTTAATATGCGAACCGCGCCCGATGTAATTGCTTTTGCACGAGTGCGAATAGATGCATATCAAAATGTTGAACAACACGATTTAAATCGGTGTAATTGTTATGTGCCGAGTCGCAAAAAGCATTTTGATTCATCCAGCTGTGTGCGTGTGTACGTTCTGCACAGTGGTAGTGGAAAAGCTTCAACTTCGACCAACGAAGTCACTGCAGCAGCAGCAGCAGCAACGAGAAAATGACCTGAAAAGTCGAATCAACGTGGAACGCAGTGACATGATGTCACAAACAACAACAACAATTCACTTGGTCTAAGAAATTCATTTGCATATTGTTTTGCATAATGTAAGCAAAAGAATTTTCGTAATTCATCTCGGCAGAAGATGAGCATTTGCAAGACGTCGTCGACACCGCCTAAATACCAAAAAATACGAGCCAAAGTTTATGCAACATGCAAAAGCAAAGCCAAGAAGTGAAAAAAAAAAACAGACAAACAATAATAGAAACCACAACCACGTCGGCTATTTTCTTGATGGTGACGCACAAAAAATGCCTTCTTCATGACTTGTGCTACTGTTTAAAGTTGATTGTTTTGCTGAGAGAAGTTCTTCTCCGATTCAGGGAGTGTGTGTGTGCATGTATGTTTGTGCCATTCGCAAAACAATTAATTCCCAACACATTCTCGGCCAACTGTTTTGCACTGCAACCGCCAATGGGTAGCTTTCAAGATTCGATGAGCTTGCGAAATGGCCATTGCTCACAATCCCACATACACGCTACGAATTGTATGAATGAAAAATACTACGAATAACTGACGACAACGAAAACAATTATTACTTATTATTATTGTGCGCTTATTGCGTTAAAAGTCAAACACACATATTTGTTATTGTTTTGCATTTTATGGTTTGCTTATGTTTGCCGTTTTGTGCATGATGTTCCAAAAAAAAAAACCGTTCGCGCCATGGGTATAATCCATAGCTGCCGACGATGACGACGACAACGACGCTGGTTGGCCTTTTTTCTCATTTATAACTCGACTTTACTTTTGGTTCGGCAAAGCATTTTAATGTTAAGCATAAAATGAGCTCATTGTTTTCAAGTCGGACCAACGACGACGATAAAGAACGCGGCGTACGCACAACGTATATTGGAATTGTGCAATGCAAGGAATCGTGATATTGCTCATTGTTCTCATTTCAGATCAGAACAGAACATGGCAGAAAAAAACTCGCCATAATCGTTATTTCCTTGTGGATGTTTCGAAATCGCCGCTAAAACTTATTATTGCACTTTGTTATGCACACCAAAAAGAAAATGAAGAAGAAAATGAAGAAGAAACAGTGCTTTGTTGTACGTAATTTGAGATAATGCATATTCGGCGCCACATCCAATTTTAACTGTGTGGTTGATCATAAAAACAAAGCCCCAAAAATTCTGACGCGTATCGAGCTAAATATAGGCTCCGTTGATAGATTCACTTGAGTTCAGTCTTTACCAGTTCGTAGCAAATTGTAATTTCGTAGAAAATCTCAATAAAAACGAATGATTCGAGAGAAAAAAAATAAACCAAAGAATTCGCACTAAAAGTACCACCTTCATATTAACAAAACCAGAGGAAGAATCAAACAGATTCGTAAATTTGCGCTATAAAAAACTGTCGCAGCAAGTGCTTTCAAATTGACTTTTATCTCGTTCACCATTCACGTCTATTCTTGTCCGCGAAAAAGTAATACATTTTCAACATGAAAAAGTTTGTTCATGCAAAACGGAACGATTAAAATGTTCAGAACGCACAAAAATCGCGTATATACTTTGGGCACACACAGTATTTGGAAAAGTGAGCTCGTTTGCCAACGTCATGTGTCAATAAATGTATGCGAAATTACCTCGAAAATTCTAAAAGTAAGATGAATTACTGCACAAAATTCGTGCGCCGTAAAACAGATGTTGTGCTGTCGGATCTAGGCATGAAAGCGAAAAAAAAAAATTCGGATCTAGGCATGAAAGCGAAAAAAAAAATTGTGAGTCAAGCTAAATTGGCCAACAAAATTTTTTGCGTATTCATTTTGCGAAAGAAGAAAAACGCGTAGCTTATTTATTTATGAGAGAGACAGGGAGAGACAGCAAGCCACACAGCAACTTTTTGGTTAGCATTCAAATGTAATCAAAATAACCATATTCAACTCAAGTAAAATTTTAAACAGAACCAACAGAATTCGCAAGTAAATAGCAAACCAAACGATTTCAATCGGTTTTCTATTTCGTAATACTAACAACGTTCATTTTTCTCTTCTCTCGAGCGCTGTTTGTCTGTTTATTTTATAAGTGCGAAGAATTCGTTTCTAAACACAATTCGTAAGCACACACCCAAATCAACCAAATGGCTGAACGACCGAAGGAAAAAGAGCCAACAAGAATGATAGAAGTTTCTTGGTACAATCGATTCGTTTGTGTGTAGCAGAAAGCCGCACGCATATTAAAGGAAGAGAGTGCTGTCTAATAGCACGTGCGGGCCCGATGATATCTTTGTATTATAATAAATATCTAGATAAATTATATTCATGTAGCGTGTGTAGTTCGTATAAAAAGGCGAGAATATTTTGTATAATTCAATAATGCCCGGGCTTTAAATGACCTGCACAAAAAAAAATGCGTGCTAATTTCTACGTTCCGCACATAACAAAGCATAAAACCACACACTGTCTTTTTGGCTCATGACACATTCGAGAAATGACTCAATTAACCGAATGGAATGTATGACACGACAAAAACTGAACTTCGGGTGTCTGATACTCCAAAAAAAATGGTTTATGATTTAAAATCCTGAAAATGTTCGTACTGCCAATTTACGCAAACGAAGCGCATACGGAAATCTTATTGGCAAGCACCAAATGAGAGCAACAAGTCTTCGTACGACAGAATCGGACAAAGTGTTCGGTTTTATGGCTGATGGCGTGGCCACTTGGGTGGCTTGTTATGCATTCACTGTACCGTGCATATCGCCGAGAAAATCAGCGAATCGATTTTATTACAGGTTCGCATTTTTCTTTCACTCTCTCTCTCCCTCTTACTCTGTTCTGTATCTGTGTCTCGTTCAGACACTGGAAAAAAATGCATGCTGCGTTTCTTGCCAGCATCAGGACTATGCGGTTCGGTTAAAAGACTGCCGCTCATTTAGTTTAGCGTTTCGATCGCTTTATCTTGTAGTCATTGATTTCGACGGCTGGCCACTTTCATGCTAATCGTTCATGTGTGCGTATGCGTGTGGCGCATTCGAATCCAGCGATATGTGCAGTAGCTTGATTTCAACAAAACAAAAGCTCGTTGTACCTGTAAACCTGACAAATTACTCCATCATTCCGATCGGATTCGATGTTCTGTGCTGTTGTTGTCCGCTCTCCAATGCGAAATGTTGTTCGTTTTGTGGGCAATTTAAATTTAAATTTTATTAATCACGTTTTATAATTGCTTCAACATGGGATACAACAACGCCAGCCGCACAGATAATGACCACCATTTAATTTTTAATGGCTATCTTATTTGTATTCTTTTTTTTTAACGTGCCGATCTACCGCCTCCCCTTTGCTGCACACATTCTGTTTGCTGTCGTCGTTAATATCTTTTCACTTTTTATCGCTGCGAATTTTGTTGTTGTTGTTGTTTTCTTGAAATTCATGATGAATTGCACTAGTTTTGATAGAATGAGATTGAACACACTAGGCGAATGCATCTTTCCGCATTGCATCAGGGTACATTTAAAATGCACGCCGCTTTTACACACACCACAGCATTTTGTTTACTATCCATTCTAATTTGTAATTGCATAATTACAATGTGGAATCGTTTAAGTGTAATCGATGAATGTTTTAATCACTGTCTGTCATCAAACGCGCGCACATACACAAACACACATGATCGCCGCATAATGCATTCGCGAGCAAACGAGCTGGTTCACAGAATCGCACATGCAACAAGCAAACAACAACACTTGATTCAGGGAATTTCGATGGGAGATTTTCATGCGATCAAATGTCTCGATTAGCAACAATTTACGACTTTTTTTTTACAGCATTTCACGTAGCTTTTTTTACGATGGTAATTCCGAACAACATTTCACCTTTGAGTAATAACGATGAGAAATGAATACCGGCAACACCTCTGATGATAAGGCAGTGTGATCACATCAAATCAATAAGTGACATCTGATGAACGATAATCATCATCATTTTCCCCTTAGAACGCTGTCAAGCAATCATCAACTAGAGAAATCACTTTAACGACGCACCATTGCATCTCGATTTGAACCATGATGCGATTGAGAAATGAACATAACCAGAGCAAAATGAAAACATGAGAATCAAGAAAATGTAATACGAATGAATGGGAAAAAGTCTTCATTAGAATGAAGTTTCAGCATGAAATGAAACATTATTTTTTAATGGGCAACCAATCATAGCAACAAAGAAGAAACACATATCGGTGATCTGATAGCCACAACTGATTCAAATGATTAGTCGGCGACCCGATATAATTTATTCAGGCTTAACGCTCGTCGTTTGCCCAAGAACACAGCTGGAATCAACGAAACACAAATCAAAGCGCTCTAAAATGAAACTGGTTTCATCTTTTGTCCGAGATCACTTTTTCGGTTGATAATTCGTTATATTTCTCGATTCTATACCGAATTTTTTGTCTTCAAACTAAACATAGATTTTAACGATTAGAAAAAAACACAGATTTTTACAGGTCGCGATTGATGTCTTGTAGTCAAAAAAGCTTTTATGGCATTTTCTATCAATCACGAAATCAAATACGGGTTTCGTTGTAAATTTTCTACGCGCAAATGTGTTCAAACAAAAAAAACAAGAAACTAATTAAATGAAAAGATCTGTTTGCCTGGACCCACGACGCAAATCCATCAATTTTGTTTACTTTCGAATTAAATACATTGATAAACGCTTTAGTCAACACAGAAGACAAGCAAATTGAATGCGTCTTTTGTTTTGTTTCACTGGAATCGTCTTTTACTTGCCAAATGTTGGTCATTCCATCCGTGCAATATGCCACAGCAATATGAATCTTCAGACATCTGATATTAGAGAGACTAATGCGAACATAGAGCGAGATGATTAATGATGATTAGCAAAAGTACAAGAAATAGAAAAATATGGTGTTGTATGTATATCCACACACCGATTGATGCGTTCAGTAGTTTCAATGGTGAAAAGATTAATTGAATTTCCTCCAGAGTGATAAAGACTGTGTTGCAAAGAAAGTTGTAATTTTACATCGTGATTTTACTTCTTGACTCGTCGCAAAATCAAATCAAGTGGAAAATCAACATAAATCACATTTGTTCGGCTCACTCTGAATGGTCAACAGTTTCGCTCCTTTGAAACATAACACAAATAGGTCTGGTGCCAGTTTCGAAAACAAAGATTCAATGGCGATTTGCCTCTGTGGTGACTTGCATTCTTACAAAATAAATTCCGTATCCTTCAAAGTGACTGGCTGCCTGCGGGATAAACACAACCGAAGACAAAACATTGGAATTCGATTTTGATTTCATTTTAAATACCTGCGATTCGACACAACACAAGACCAAAGCAACACGATAATAAAAATTTGAAATCGTTTCCAATAAAACAGAAATAATCTTGGCCACAAAAGCTGTTTCGGTCTCTTTGAGAAGACGAATTGAATATCAAAAGGAATTAATAAAATATTCAAATAAAATTTGCAATAAAGCGTGAAAAATTCATAAAATGCAAATTTGCCATGTTGCATATTGTGTGCACAGGCACACACACACAACTGTACGCCAACGTTCGGGCATTTCGATTTGGTTTGTGCTGCTGATAAGATTTATTGAATTTATTGAATTAGTTGTCGAAAGTGTGCGTCAATAAAATGGCACTTTGTGTTGCAATATCGAAACTCAAAATACACATACAGCCATACACTTTTCGTCACGTTTCACTTTTATTATGTGGATAGTTTGTCTCAAAAGACTTTGATGACTGTGATAACAAAGAGCGTTTGTGTCTGGGTCTGTGTCTGTGTGTGTATGCAAGCGAAAATGAAACAGGATCTCAAGTGCCATGAGACTCTGCATTATTCGAATTTCACACATTTTGCTCGAGCGCTCAAAGTTGCAACGAAGAAACAATGAGACGATAGAGGAAAAAAGACAACATTCGAATAACGAATAGCATTACGTACAATTATTTACGAATGAATGGCGCAACGATATAGAGGAAAAAATTGAGAGAGAAAAAAAAAGAATTTTCGATTGGTAGTCGTTTGCTTTGACTTGAATCCAGATAGACATTCTCACAAACACTTTGTCCAAATGCATTCGCATTCAGCAGCAGCAGCAGCAGCAGCAACAGCAGCCATGCTGAGAATGTGGTGTTTGAGCGACAAAACCATTTCCAATATCAATTCAATTGCGCGCTCGTCTGTCCAATGTGCTTCCCATTAACTGGTCTCGCATCGTCGTCTTCACCGTACTCGACTAAAGTTGCCAAACAATTTGTTTCTTCTTCGCTCTGTAATTTTTCATCTCCATTTCTTGGCTGTCGCATTTAATCTTCCATCCGCTTGGGAGCAATTGGAAATCAAATGCAAAATATGCAAAATCGATTGAAGACAGAGGCGCTTATGAGCTGAGCTGCCTGCTGAAGCATAAGTCTTTCATCACCACGATGAATAAGAAATGAATGGAATTATTTTGTAGCGAGTGCAAAAACGGATTGCAAATCATGATGCCACAGAATATTTTATTGATGCGAATTTTAGTGCAAGTGCTCGAGAACCCTTTCCAAATGTGTCATCTCGAAACGAGACACGATATCGGTCTCCATCAAATATCAAAGTGAATACATTTTCGGAACGTATTTGCCAATGAATTAAATAAACTAATGACATAGACGTCGATTCACTGGCATCCATTCCATCTACTAGTAATTAATGAAGCGTTCAAATATGAATATCGTCGTTTCAAATGTCGATTGTCAACGCATGATCACACACATATGTCGATTTGCCAATTCTCTGTTTGCCACAAAAACAAAAGTCGGTGCATAAATTGCCGATTTTTATGTGATTTTCATTGCCACAAACCGGATACCAAAAAATTATGCTTAGAGCAAGAATATATGTGCTGTTGGATGTTAGTGCAAAAGAAACGAACAGTCCAACGATGTTTTATTATAATTGAATAGAAGAATTATTTTGCAGGCAAAAAAAAAATGCACGAGAAACATAGAGAGACAGAGAAAGAAAAACGAACAAAAATCCGCCCACAAACGGAATATATACTCAATTGGTATGCCGTGCATCTTGTTTATCGCGTTTAACGCATAACAGAATTTCTCAACAGTTTCTGAGATTCAACGAATCGGCGGATATTACAATAAAATAAGTGTGCATGTAATTCCTAGTCACATATAGTATACGTATATGAAAATTAGTTGGAACACATGCCAAAATATAAAGCAGTGAGCATATTTTTCGGTGCAGCTGTTGCTGTTGGCTGGCGGTGATGTTGTTTTAAGCATGTAACTCAATTTTAACTCTTTGCATATGTTGGATTGCGTGTGTTTATGGCTTCAGAACTTTTGGTGTTCGTAAATCGGAAAAAAAGAAGAGGCGCAAAGTGAACGAGAATGAGAATTAGAGAGAGAGAGAGAGAGAGAAATGAAATGAACATGAACATGTGTGCCTTCCACGTACCTTCGTATCACATTGTCTAAGTGATATGCATAAAAACCATTTTATTATCATTGTCATTATTGCGTTGGGCACTGAAAACTTGAAAGGAAAGAAGAAAAAAAAAACTATTTTATTATTGACTGAGCACGAGCCGAAAATTAGTTTGTTTGGTAGGTTGTGTGACGTATAACCGAAAATTGGATTCGCAGGATTCGTTTCAAGGCACTTTGTATGCGTTCCGTTCGCCTGCTCACACTCACTTTTAACAATGAGTAATTCATTCTCTCGCATTTCATTAGTTGTGTGTGTGTGTGCGTCAGTTTTTCTTTCTTCTTCTATCATTTACCAAAAAAAAGGCAACTTTTCAATGACTCAATAGCGAGCAAAGTGCTCGGAAATAATGCACTCAACGCATTTGGAAAATGCAAACGGTGAAATGTATTGAGTTTTGGAGCTGGGTGCAAGTCTCTTCGTTCTTCTCTCTATCCATACGACGCATATTATCGTCCGCCGCACATACACATGATGGAATATATTCTCTAACACAAGCGCTAGCGCTTCGTACTCCATGTGCGAACGAGAGTATAAGAGATAACAGCAGCAGCAGCAACAGCAGTAAGCAATGCACACTCAACGCCGAAGCGCTTTTTTCGTATGCCACTGAGTGAATATAATACATACTCTCTTATTATAATACACACTCGCTGCTTAGACAACTGCTCTCTGCCACACATGTACGATTGTGAATTCGAGAGTTTTGCTGCCAATCCATACGGCACATAACACAATTTAGTCGCTTTTCTACCGTCGAAGTGACCATACCCATGTGCCACATCGATTTCGTGTATTTTTTTTCCCTGCATGGAAAATAACGACGCGTTGTACGTGATCCTGATGTTTTTATGTGCGGTTATGGGATCGTTTTGACCCATTCTTTCGGCACCGTGTTAATGTGTAAATCATCTATCTATTCTAGTTGCGTTCGCATTTGCGTTTTGTTCTGTTTTTGTGCCATCTTTAATTATAGCGATTCGTGAAAAGTGATTTAGACGATTGAATCGAACAAATGCCACACAAATGAAATGGCAAAAACCATTGGTTTGAACCCATGAACACCCTCGAACCAAATGCAAAGAAAAAGAGGTTATTAGTCATGTGATTTCTCAGAAGTGCAAAAGAAAGAAAAGAAAAAAAAAGAAGTAATGGTTTTCGTGTTATTCGCACACAAATGCTAGGGTTGGTAATTGTTTGTTTTGTTGATTTCAACAGCCGCGATACAAATTATTTGATAAAATTTGTTTTTACGAAAAACGAAATCTTATCGACGGCCTAATCAATTACTCATCGCGATTACCTGAAAAAAAAGAGCTTGTGTTTGTTTTTCGATTTATTTGAACGGTGTGTGTGTGGCAATATATAGTTCATTGTTCAGTCGGTGATAGAGACATTTGTCGGACGCATATATAACGAAGTGAATAACGATTACAAGCGCACAGTTACCCATTTACATTCATTTCAAAGTCGTTTAAAATGAAAAGCAACGACTTACTTTCTCACAATCAACGAAAATAATGATGACAACAATCAAAATCTTATCTTAAATAACATAATGTATACACGCAAAATGTACACGGTTATATCACAAAAGTGTTTTGGTTTGACAAAGAACTTTGGAGTTGATGGTGCTTTACAGTCCATTATTTTAACTGTTGATGGCTGTTATCGTATTCGTATCGACAATTGACCGCCCATAATTTATGCGCCTCTTTCTCTTTCTCTTATTGCGATCAACCAACATCTAAAACGGACTCTCGATATCAGCGCCCGCAGCCAAAGCGCTCAGCCAAAACTGGAATACCGAAGATGAGCGATAAGAAAGAGCGGCACAGAACTCGCGTGACATACACACAGAAAAATGCAGATGAGAACCAATGTGTTTCGAGTCGTTCGATTTTATTCATTTACAATGTGATGCTAATTAATGCGACATTGTGAATTCTAGAACCGCCACACAGACGCGACTCATTTAACCCTCTAATGCATACAACCGCCTCTAGACGGGCAATATTTGAACGCCTGTAGAACGTAAACCGTACATCGGATCGCATTGATTCAAAACGAATTTTTATTCGTCAATGTTCTCTCTTTATTTTTGTCTTTGGCAATATTTGTCTATGTAGTGTGATTCTAAAGTTATAAACAAAAATGTGTGCAAAAACAAAAATTTGACAAAATAAATTATTCGAACTCTAAATTAGACACATTTTTGATACTTTTAAACAATGGATTTGATTGTTCTATGATTTATGTCAATCGCATTTTCTGACTTAACCATGAGGAATCCAGGATTATGAATATTTTTTTAAATTATCTATGGCCAAAAATCAACCAAGTACCAGTACTCCCAGCCCTGGGTAAAATTAATGCAGAGGGTTAAATAATATGATGCCAGAAAGTTCATATCCAAACAATGATTACTCTATGGAACAAACAAATTGAATTTCAACCAAAATTCCGAATCGAATGAGGATTCTGTTTTTTTTCCTTTTCGGTATTTTGAAACGAGAGAAAAAATTGCATATTTTTTTCAATTTTCTCTCACTGTCTGTTTACCAGCCAACGACAACAACCGAAAAAATAACAAATGTAAATCTCATACGAAAATAAATCTCCCGACCACGAAGTCGTAATCTCTCTCGAATCGCTGTTGGTCTCTTCGTTTTCGTTTCTGGTGATATTTTTTTTCCGTTTTTTTTTTTTGTTTTTATCTCTGAGGAAAATTATTTATTCCAATATTTTGCACACACATCCAACAAACAACGAGAGGCTCGATGACATTTTTATCAACTGTAATCAGCATCAGTGGCAGCTTATTGTTTCAATGAATGCGCCCAGCATTTTTTTCCATATATTTTTTTTTGATTGGCACCGCCATGCCGTTGTCATGTCTGTGTAGCTCTGTGACAAAAGGAAGCAAACAGAAATCATATTAAAATTCACACAATAAAATGCGGTAACGCGTTTCTTCGGATGGTGCTCGTTTTTTCATTCTCTCGTCCGTCTTCGTCGCAATTAGTTTTGTTGGTGTGAGTGTGTGGAGTTTTAGCTTTGTTAATTCTCTCGTCTTTTTTTCTGCTTGCAAAGAGATGTTTGCCTTGTATAATAAAACGAAAAAGACGGAAAAAAATTAACTTGTGAATTTGGTTTTGCTGTTGAATCTCAAATGTTATGTGAATCTGGTCGGTTGACGTCGTCGTTGTCGCCGCTGTTCATTATCTTCCTTTTGGTTATTTCATCATCGTGATATTAATAAATGGCCAAAGACTGGTATCACCTTAGGACAATTCAACATTTGACATTTTTCTTCAGCTATTTTATCTGCTTGCGATCGAAACTGTGATGCTGTTTAACACGCTGCTACCATACACCGGAGCAGCATTGGCGTTAGAAAGACCCCGTCATGATGTTACAATTTCACAGCTGGGCGTATTTATGCGATGAAAAATAAATCGATCAAAACTAATTATTTCTTTTTTTTTCCCTTTCGATGCTGAAAAACGACGAAGAATTTATGCTTTGCGATCGATTTTTCTCGTTTGTTTACAAATCATTGGGCACGAATCGCCTCATTCGAACGTGATTCTGAGAAAGTCCAATAACAATGGCTTTGCCATTCGTCACAATAGCTTTTTTTCTCTCTCTCTCTAAGCTCTAAGTATCGTTTGACGGCTCTGATATTTTTCCATCGATTCGTTTTGCAGCAGCTTCCCTCTTTATTTTAGCAAATACAGTCCGATTATCCTACTAGTTTGAGAGCAGCACGAAGTGGCAAATCTAGGCATGTACTTTGTTATGCAGTACACAGAAAAAAAACGTGTTCTTCACACTCAATCCGCACTTCGACTTCCTCCGGCGATAATAAATCGTAGTGGTGTCTATAAGCGATGCGATCCGATGCAATGCACACAGTTCGTTAAACCATTCTTAACTAAAACTACAAATTACGACTTGAGATGCGGCATGCAACCGAACGAGCTGTTCGCGTTATCACGACAAAACACCAAAACACAAAGTGCATTTCAACTTCATTAAAAGCACTTTTTTATGTTTCACTTTTCATTTCAATATTTCCACTGACACTAGTGAGTCACACAGGCACAGCGCGAGAGCTGCTGTGCTGAGACGGCTAAAGAATGTGCGTAGAAAGCATTTTTTTATTGCATCTGCTGTGCATGTACTTCCAACCGCTTTTTCTTTTTCACTCTGAATAAACAAACAAACAGCAGTAGCGTAAAGTATTCATAGCCTCCATTGACTTGACTCCTAAAAATAAACGTGTAATATTTTTAATATTCAAATTTTGCCATAAAAACTTCGTTGGCTGATGAAGTATTAACCATATTTCCCTACTCCGGCCGAGAGTTCTGCAACTGTGCTACACTTTGTTTTTCATCCATGGTCAAATCAGAAAGAAAGAACATTCACATCCACTCCATTTGGAAATGCTTTTATATATAGCCAAAGTGAATTCCAGTAGGGATCGCGCCTCTTAAGAACATCACGCTAGAAAACGACGTAATCATTTTAAAAATACGAATTGCTGCCGATGTATTAACTGGGATGAATAAACATATCTTCAAATGATCGTGATTTATTTGAAAATCATTATCGTTTTTTCGCTCTCTCTCTGTCTTCATTCCGTTTTTTTTTTGTTTACATTATATTCAAAGTATTTGTTTTATTATTGAACCTCTTCATTTCGAGTGTCATTTTTATGAAATTTTTACGCTGTTCAGCTGTTACCGAAGATTAAAAGTCATAGACAAACATTTCCAACAGTCAAACTTTTAATTGCCATTCGTATCATTAAAAGTATTGAGACTGGTTTTTGAGCTGTTTTATTTTATTGCCACACATATGACACACTTCGTACTTCGTTCAACAAGTGACACAACTCTTTCAACCTGAAACCTAAATTAATGCACTGAATCGAGTGCGTTTTTTTTTCGGGGCGGGGTAAATTTGCGTGTTTACTCATTGTTATTTAAATATTATTTCGCACAGTGCGTGTTGTCATCAATAAAAGTTAAGTGAAAGAGAAAAAAAAAGCAATTGAGAGAAAAGGCCCAGCCAATTCATCAAAGTGTTCGTCCAAAATGTCGCCGTAGTGTGGTGAAAAGTGAAAAGTGCGCTGTCATTCTCTGGTGAAAATTAAATTAAAGCCATCGATTTATTGGGTGTATTACCCGCAGATACCACTTAATCGAAATAAGTCAGCAGCTGGTCTAATAAATCGATTTGTCTGATCAACGGTGTGCTGCGCCGCAAAATCAATCAACAATGATTCGCGTCAATTCGCAATCATTCAGTTTATCGAGCACACTCAAAAAGGTAATAAAAGAATTCAATTTTTCATTTAATCAACCACATTTTGTTGTTGTGTTTTTACTTTTTGGTTTGAAAAAAGTTGCCGAAAAATTCAATGATTCAATGAATTGGAATTGAGATGGCATTGACTGCTATGTGTCAAATAACTTACATTTGAAATGTATTGTGGCACTATATCTATGGTATTCTCAACGTGATAACATACGATTGTAATAAATTCCCAACCTGCACTCTCACGTCAAGAGGGAAATAACGATGGAAATTTCGGTCAAACGCGCACCCGCGCTCAGCCGTCCGAGTTAATCGAGCCGAACATATATTGTATGAATGGACTACGACACGTTGACAGTTATGGGATCAAGATTCGAGTTTTTTCGGCACATTCCATTCGCAATTTGACAAATGAAAACCGTGGTGCTTATAAATAATGATTATCGCGCAAATCGCACGAGTGTAATTGGTGTTGACAGTCATGATTATTTACAGTGAGTCGTATACGACATCAACATCGTTTAGCACATTCACGCTTCAACACATTTTCAACACATTCTCCTGTTGTGTGCATTGGCCACCGCCGATTTTATTCAGTTGACACTCACGGAATCCCATACATATTGTCGTTGGAAAAGCTTTTGAAATGTAATACGAATGTAACTGACTGCATGACGTGACTTTCATCATAGAGTCAATGTGTGAATAGCGCTTGTAACCATCTATTCAGTGGAAGTACATCAATCGAAATTCCAAAAAAAATGGTCAATCGTCATTTTTATGCTTGAAAATCAACATTTACATTGGAACCGCGAAACGCTGTGGATTCATGCTTGTTGCGAATTTCATTTCGAAATGTGGTCCTTTTTCCCGTGGCATCAATCAAATTGCTGAAATGGGTCTATTCGCACGTAACAGCTCATGCTGCGAGTTTTTTTGTGTTCGCAACCAAAATGGATTACATTTGCAAAGCCATGGTCAGAATTCAGGAAATGCCAAAAAACACAAGGCACCTTTAATTACAGCAAACCACATGATTCGAAATTAATGATGTGCTGTCCAATTTCAGGTGTTTATTCATCATTTTAAGCATTTGTGTTGCTGGGTTAACATTTTTGAAATTTGTATTTGTATTATTACCTGCTTTGCTTCCAATCTATCTTCTTTCCATTTTTTGTGTTGTATTTTTTTTGAATGTTTTGACGGTTTTTTTTGTTGAAGATAGTGAGGCGCCGTGCATGCAAATAATCGTTAGCTCATTTATACTCTTCACGCGTGCAGCACGTATCAAGTGACTCCGAAAATGTATTCACACTCATCGCAGTCGTTAGCTCATTTTTATTTTTCGAGTGTTGAGTATATATGATTCGAGTACTCAATTTCGTCACATTTTGAATAATGGTAGTTGATGGTCACTTCATACCTAACCACTTTATTAGAGGTGATTGGTTCACGAGCAGCATCGATCACTTTGCGTGAGAATGACCAATTGAAGATAGTGAGAGAGGATAGAAAAAAAATGTGATAAGTGATGCTTTTTAAGGGGTCCAATGAAGATAATTGACTTCGACTCATTCCGATGTTTACAGAAACCGTGTTCAATCTATTAACGAGGTATGAAATAATCGTCGATCCAAAATGAACGAGCATTTAATCAAAAAATCGCCGCAATGCTTACGGCCACAAATCTTAGCGATGCCGACACAAACGAATAAAAAAACAAAATTAATAAGAATGAACCATGAGCTTATGGCTGCTCATAAATCGTAATCCAAGAGAAAAAATGCACCGAACGCGACTCTCTCTCTCTCTCTCTCTCTCTCTCTCTCTCTCTCTCTCTCTCTCTCTCTCTCTCTCTCTCTCTCTCTGTGTGTGTGTGTGTGTCATTGCAAACGTCTTGCGTTAAAACAGTTCCATTTTAGCATCTGTCTCGCTCCAAAGTATGTCTAATCGGATTTTTTTCTGCTCTGTGGCCTGTACCGCTTCGGGATTATTTTCTCAGTGTAAAATGAATATTTGCATTGGTTGTTAACTGCATAATCGGAATGTGATCATAGTGTGCGCTGCTTTTTCCCGCAGGTACACATCATAAAGTCAACAACTTTAATGAGATTGCGTCTCGTTTATTCGATTTCAATGAACGAATCGAGTTGACGTGAATCAAACATACAGCGCGTTTATTACGAATTCATGCTAATTTGATGCGGTTGACTTCATTGAGAATAAGTTCACTCGTTACGCTATGCGAACCGTCGTAGCCGGTTAGCCTGCTTCGTAGTGGAATAAAAAATTAAAATTTACACTACGCGCAAAGGTTTTTGTGCATTGCGCTGTTGCGGTCGGCCAGTTGTGTGTAATTCAACCGGCTAATGTGACGATAAATTCAGTTTTTGAAGTATGACATTTCGCAGAAAATGCATGCAATGCATGACTTGGCTTTAGTTCGCTGGCAATTCGGAAACTTGAAACCGGTGTACGACACACAACGCAGTGATGTCATATGCTTCTGTGAATCATACATTAACCCCTTTATTGTTTTGAAGTCTCAAGTTTATGCTGGATCAAGTTTACATTTTATCGAGAAATTCTTGACAGCAGGAGAATCAATCATTCGATCGATTTTGAAATTATTCGAGCTCATTGGTGGTCACATCTAATTCAATTTACACACCCTTTCCGAGAACAAGTTGTCCGAACAAAACACGGTACAAAACGATCGATTTCAAGCGGTACCGAGAACGAATGACTGGATTTCAGTTATTTCAAAGTGTTGTGTGCCCATAAATCAAGAAGGCTTTGCTGTGGTTTTTCGCTGTAGTCTTCATCTGTTTAACTCAATAAAATCTTTTCATTTTACTTCAACGCAAACAAACCGAATGTGTGAATTAATCATAAACGAGTAGTTTGGAGCGAAAAATGTCGATGATGAATGAGCGGAAAAGGGATAGCTACTATAGTTAACTGTATAGTAAACTATAGTGAACTATAAAGCTATCTCTTTTCATTTGACATTTTTCCGCGCAACTTTTCTGTATTACATTTTCACTCCAAACTACTCAAATATTCATGCCGCCGATAATTATACATCTTTATTATTAAATGTGATTAGCTTTTGATACGGAAAAAGAAATCCATCTTTTCGGATTGTTGCCATTTATCTTCAAATTCATTAGCTCAAAAGCCCAGTAACAATTTCATTTTAGTTTGGAATCTTCGAAATTGCTCACGCATTTGTTGATAAATAAATTTGTTGTATAATTTTATTACATCAAAATCGCATTAAGTTTTAAGTTCTTTTCATTGACCAATGTATAACAAAGCAAAGAAGGCTGCAATAAAAAAAAAATTCAAATAACTAAACGTATTAATCAGTGGTTTGTCCGGTTTGGAAAAGCCACTGATTTAATAATGGCGTTTCTAGAAACCAATAAAGCTTTTATGTTTGGTTCGTAATAAAAATGATATTGAATGGAATTTACGCGATATTTTTTTCGTTATATTGCCCATGAAAATGGCAAAATTTCGAATGGTTTTCGACCACAATTAAAATTCATGCTGGATCATGTATGGCTACTACAAATAGCTGCCATTTTTTCGCAGAAAAATTGAATTCCATAGCTCTTCAAGAGAATCGATTGAACGAAATGAAATTGTGCGGAAAAAATGAATCAAGTTTTTGATTAAATTCCATTGAAAAATAATCATCATTATTGCGCTGTTGACACGAATGCATGATACTATTTATGAAACCATACAAATTCTGGATGACGGAGAGGGAACGAAGCGATGCAATGAATGGAAGGTGATTCAATTTGTGGCATGCAAACGGGGAAAATGATCGATATTTACATATGTGCACTTGACGTTCGTCTTTTTTTTCAATTATCGACGTCACCTGCGTGAGCGTTGCATGCACCACAATATCCGTTGTACTATTTCCTTTGCACCGAGAGTAAATTACTTTGACGATGCTGTAGGCAAAATGTTGTGTGTGCTTTTTGTTTTCTCCTTCGTTCGTACCATTGTTACAACGATCGCGCAATGTGCTAATCAAAGGCCGGCTCATCTTCTAGCATCGTGATCGAAATTAATACCGGCAATTTGATATTGATTATTAATATGAACGCACATTTATTGTAATACCTGCTATTTAGGTTCACAGATATGGTCATTAGCGAAAATGACTACGGGGCAATCAATCAAAAGGAACAACGAAACAACGGCGAGAGCGTAGCTCACACACTGCGAATCGAACGAAGGAGCGTCGGGTTACAGCGATCCGAAATGGTTATTAATCGATGATATGCATATATTAATGCATAAAATAGCTGGTTTCCATAGATGTGCCGCTTGATCGGCTACAAAAAAAAGTCACTGAATGAGTGTGCCTGTGCACACTATCAAGATCTATGAAATATTGGTTCGACGTTTTGCACTGATGTTTGCTATAATGTTCGTGTTTCGTTGGGCTTTATCAGTCAATCTCGCTTTCGATGCATTAATAAATGACTTTCGATTGACTCTGCTCACACTTTTGCACACTTCCAAATACGATACACAAAACATAAATCCAACCGATGCCATCTCTCTAATTCCGACCAGAAATGGTGTGCTTTGTGAGATTTCGTTCGAGGCCGTTTGCATAAAGAGTATTTATCTATCATTAAGCGTATTGCATGTTTTTGTTTCAATTCTTTCGCTCAGTCTCTTTATCCCACACTCTGTTTGC